AAAAATGCGCATAATGCGCATAAAAATAGGTGGATGGAAACGCAGCTAATCACGTTTACACACTGCCTCTGTATGTCATATAAATCTACTACATAATATGTGGTATACCACTGCTTTCATTTATTTCCTTAATGTTTCTCTTGTGGCCCCAACAAGAAACAAGAAACGTATTTCGTGTTGAACAGGTTGTTTTTTTTTATTCAGTGGCGGAAACAGGCTTCCATACTGAAGTACTAACTAAAAGAATAAACTAAAGAATCAATGTTGTGCTCATATTTTAATGCAGTTACCACAATTGGGAACATTATGAATCCATTATTATAAATAAGACATGTGACGCACAGTGCACCTCCAAAAGCAAAATAACAGGTTTGCGCTTTGTCTGCATGCTTTGAGACACAAGTCATTTATTTTATATGAAAATCATTGTGTACAGTGGCTTCTCCTGCTTTTCTTAGTTAGAAAGTCATGTGATTTTCTGGAAAGAGAGCAGATCTTGGAGATATCCCTGTAACACACAGATCCTTTCTGACTGGCTGACATGCGTCTTGCGTAACAGGAGTACACTTATATAAAATCCCATGCAGTGGCAAAAGACTCCAGCAAGAGAATTCAAGAACACAAGACATCTCTTATATAATATACAGCAGAAAACTCAGTTTGCTGTTTGGAACACAGATTTCCTCAGGTCTGACTGTTTTACATTTACATTTATTTGTTATTTCACTTTTATTAAAACAAATAATTTCTGATTTGTGGGATGTTCTGGGAAAGTTTGTTCTTTTGGAACATTTCCAGAACAAAGCTTAGAGAGTCTTGGTTAGTCAGAATGAATGTTTTATGATGTTTTATGTCTCACACAGGTTATAGGTGAATTAGGGATGTTCTTAAATGAACAAGGTGAACTTAACTTGGTTTAACTTTTACTGCAATGTAGGCTATTTCTTCAGACCTGCAATTGCAAACTGCAAAAACAATAAAACAGCAGGGAATGAAAGCTATGGGTCGTGACTCGATAGAAATATCTGATTTACAAACAAAATATTTTGATTAATTTATTTCTTTTAAATCACTCTTCAGCAGCTGGAAACCTATATCAGGCAAGAATGGGACCAAATTCCAACACCAAAACACCAGAAACCCATAACCTCGATGCCCAGATGTCTTCACACTGTTTTGAAAAGAAGAGGAGATGCTACACCATGGTAAACATGCCCCCGTCCCAACTATTTTGAGACCTGTAGCAGGCATCAAATTTAAAATGAGCTCATTTTGCGCATTAAATTGTAAAATTTCTCAGTTTAAACATTTGTTATGTTATCTATGTTCATATTGTGAATAAAATATTGGCTCATGTGATTTGAAAGTCTTTTAGTTTTCATTTTATTCAAATTTAAAAAATGGCCCAACATTTCCGGAATTCGGGTTGTATTTTTTTAGAATCTAAATAACTCATTTTCAGAATCTAAATAACTCCTGTTTTTTTTTAATTCCAGTTCCTCCATTTTCCTCTTCTACTATGGGTGTGGCAGACGAACTGTGCGAAGAGCTGTTCCGTTGGATTTATCAGCAGGAGAAATGTGCAGATCATCTCATGGCTTTGGCCACCGAGCTGGAGAAGATGAGGGAGGCGATGACTACAGGCCAGTTTGTGGGAAACACAGCAACTGTGCCTGGGTCTGCCACCCTAGTTGGAACAGGCATTGCAACATTTCTGACTGGTGGCCTGGCTGCACCCTTGCTGGCAGTGGCAGCTGGTATCACAGTCGGAGCGGGTACTGCAACTAGTCTTACACTTTCGCTTGTGGAGAATTGGAAATCCAGTAAAACAATGGAAAATGCAGAGAAGACTGCTGATAAAATCCAACAGATTCAGAACAATATTAAAAGGCTCCAGAAGAAACTCCAGAAGGAGTGTGAGAGTGAAGGCTTTAAAGCGTTATCCTCCGATGACGTGCAGTGTGAAATCACCACGAGGATCCTGAGAGCCATGGCCAAACGGAGTGGTAGAGATCTGCCCCTCAGCCTAAGGCACCTCTTGAGAAGTGATGGCATGTATACATATCACAGATATCCAACGTTTAATCATGACATTGGATTCATCTGCACTGTCAGTTCTTTGCTAGCATTCCTTGGATATTCTGCCATCTTTCTGAAAACAGCAGCAGCAAAAGGACAAAAATATTATACTCCACTTGTTGTGAAAGCTACTGAAGGAATGGCTGATCTTTCACTGAAAGCTGCGTTAAAGGGAACAGGCCAGGTATTTTTTCATAGATATAAACCACACACACACACACTCACACACATACACAAATATGTATATGCAGTACAGTATGTTTTTCATCATCAGGGACTAAATAACAATTGTGAGGTCCTCACCAACTTTTATAGACCAATAAAAACCTCAGTTGACAACAAAAAACAACAGAGTTCAATGTGTAGTCTTTTTTTTTTTTACCAAAAATAAACCAACATTAAGAAACCAGGTGAGGAAGAAATAAGTACACCCTTCCTACTTTCAGTCATTAAAAGAGTAATTAGCAGCCAGGTGTTACTACAGGCAAACTTTTGGCAGTTTGGTGTTCTAGAGCACTCAGGTGTGTATCTACATCAAGCCAAGAAGAAAGGACATCAGCCATGACTGCAGAGAAGCAATTGTTGTCCCAACAATTTGAAATTCACCATTCCACAGTCAGAAGAATAGTTTAAAAATGGACAGCCTTAAAAACAGTCGCCAATCTTTCCAGAAGTAGATGTCCCAACAAATTCAGTCCAGGGGTGGTGGAGGGGTGATGATTTGGGCTTGTTTTGCAGACACAGGACCTGAGAAACTTGCAGTCATTGAGACTACGATGAACTCCACTTTATACAGGAATATTCTAGAGAAAAATGTGAGGCCTTCTGTCCAGCAGCTTAAGGTGGGTCGAAATTGGTCATGCCACAGGACAACGATCCCAAGCA